TTTTTTTTTTTTTTTTTTTTTTTTTAATAATAAAGGTCTATCCACGGCCATATCCGGGCTCAAGCTCGTTCTACCGTGTAGTCCAGACAGGGACCGTCCCAAAAGTACTAAAACTGTCCTTCGGGACATCCGTTAAAATTGGAACGATACAGAGAAGATTAGCATGGCCCCTACACAAGGATGACACGCATAAATCGAGAAATCGCCCAAAAAAAAAGAAAAAAAAAAGTATTAAACCAAGCTCAAGCCGAGACTCTGGCCCGACCCAACTGTGTGAACCTGACCCTGAACCAGCCGCATCCAGCTCCAAGCCAACCTGGTCCACTGGGGTAAAGACCACACCAACTGGGTTCACACTTAAGACTTCAGGCTTCAGACCAAGTCTAATCTCGATCTGTTTGCAGCCCAAGAGCAACCTGTGTAGCAAGTATTCATAAGAGACTAACCAGGGTAATTAAAGAAAAAAGGATTTAAAAAAAGGGTAAAGAACCAAATCTCCAGTCTGAGATAGGTTTGGTTCTGAGTTGGGGGACCACCTGGGTGCAAATATTAGGTCCACATTGTTTTTAACCAGGTTCGTTCAGCGCCAGCTGATACGCGGTACAGCAGGATTGATCTCACAGTCGTGACTCTGCTTCTGAAGAGAAAGACCCAGCGGTAAGTGGTATGTTACCTCATAGTAAGAAAGCACGAACCTGGTCATCATTGCTCCCGAATTCATTCTTTTCAGGCACAAACATAGCAGCAATGGACTCTTCCCCTAAGTCGTTCGCACAGTGTATTGGTTGGTATTGATCTTACAGCCGTGACATTGCTTCTGACGAGGAAGGCACTCTGGTAAGTCTATATTACGTCAGTTGTGGTGCCAAAGCAAGGCCTGTAGGTGTCGTTTTGCCTTCAGCGGTGGGGCGGGACGGAGTTGCGGTCAGATGCATGCAGGTCTCGTTTCGTCTTCACGTGGAGCACGGTTCCACTAGCAGACGAGTCATGGACTATTATGACCTGTGTGACAGGTTGAGAAAAGATAAATAAATAACTTTAAAAGACATAAAATAAAATAAAATGGTGAGGAGGCTTACGTTTGAAAGTACTGCAAAAGGCGGCCGTCTTCTTGAACATCAGAATCGTCACCTTTGTGGCCGCTTCACATGAGCTCAGAGGCCGTCGGCGTCCATCTCTCTCTCTCTCTCTCTCTCTCTCTCTCTCTCTCTCTCTCTCTCTCTCTCTCTCTCTCTCTCTCTCTCTCTCTCTCTCTCTCTCT